AACATATTTAGTTCCGAGGTAAATTTTAGAAGGCAGATGGGTTTGTAGATAAGACACTACCTAGAGATTTCGCCCTCATTTTGCGGGGTCATAATAATCCGAGTTCTGGTTTCCTATAGGCCTAAGCCCCTATTATTAATTAGCCCTCCCGATAATGAGAGAGAATGTTTGATTAAGGCTAGTCATCAATCAGATACATTTTTAGAATACATGTTATATGGCATATAGTAACAGGAATTGACATTTGGAATTTGAACGGTGTTGGATTTTTTTTTTAAAATTAAAATTTCACCACCTTGCACTTAAAATATATTAGTGGGGGGAATGGATGATGTACCCGATCAATATCCCATGGTGTCATCATCACGGGCCATCATGATCCCTAGTCTACTTAGTCATAGGAGGTAGTTGACCCAACTTGATAAAAGGATCCTTGTTGGTAGACATGGGTTGATTCGTCTAAGTGGACAAATTTGAATCCACCTTAGCTAATAGAGGGCTCAGTGCCCTATCGATTATATCCTGTTGATTCATATCTCAAGGATTTGATGTCATTAATGAACGTATTGATTCAACCATAACTGTTATCTCGTGGTGCCATTTAGAGATAAAACAACTTGGTTCAAAGGGCCCTAGGTTATAATTGTTTATCCTACAGTTCTATTTGGTGGCAAAATCACTAGTCAGAGGATGTCTACCACATCCTTAGTAGCAGGATATTATTTTGAAAATGAATCCAAATGATATTCTTGACCAGATATTAGCTCTTTATGAGCTGAAGTAGTTTTCAAGTTGTTATCCTCGGGAAACTATTATGGATGGTGGATAAATTATGCTTTAAGTATTTGATGGTTGGGTCTCAATTTTAATTATTTGAAATTAAATTTTTTTTTTTTGAGTTTTGAATTTTGAATTGGTATTTGAGCTGGCATTTGAAAATATTTAGAATTAACCCATCCGGTTGAGATTTTTTGTTCAACACGGCCATCATTAGGCTAACTGGGGTCATTTGAAAATACTTTACGGTTTGTGAGAATTTAGAGGCATTTGAAATGGTTGGAGTTAACCCCTCTGGTTGAGATCAACATTCAACATGACCATAATCTGGCTATACAGGCATTTTTATTGACTAAATCTTGTCGACCCTGTCAACTTAATAATAGGGGATCAGGTTCATCGGTTGTATGATTTTATTAATGAATTTCTTTATTCATTATCCTTAAAGGCTTTATATGAATGTATAAAATAGTTATTCTGGTCGAACACCTTGACCGTATATTTATTTAATAATTTGAGCCAAGTCGATTCTTATCTATACATATAAAAGACCAGGCTCGAACTATGTTCATTTATTTACCCACGCAGCATCTTTAGCTATCAAGTGTGTATTCATAATACACTCACAGGGGCCCATAAAGGTTTTTGTATTGCACTTGCCCCCTTTTGTGTATCTTTTTGCATGCATATTACAATGCATGTGTGGGTTCATTTTTATAATATTTTGACATTGATTTGTTGTGTGGGTGACCGCCATTTGAAGGTAGCATTATATTTCGATGCTCATTCATGCCTTTCGTCCGCTTGTAAAAATATTGCAGATTTGGTGGCATTACATAGCACTATAATCATTTTCCCATTTCATATTAGTAGACTATTGTGTACTACTTATTGTTTTATGTAGATAGATTATAGTGCACTAACGAATCTCCTACTTTATTGTAGATAACTTCATTCATCATGAGCTTTTGTGCTAGCTCGTATTTGCTACAATTCTTCTGCTTTGTCTATAACCTTTTATATATATTTTTAGATTGCATGTTGGGTATATGACGGGTCTTCTACAATGACTTGTATGAGTTTGCATTTATCATCAATCGATCACCTTTTCTCGCAAGAGATCTACATAGTTGTCTTCCTCTGGGTGGTTGTTGATTGAGAGCATTCTCTACCTAGTACCAATCACCATCCACAAGCATATTATTAAGCATATAAGGATTCATTATAAAGAACATTTTGCCGACAGTAGAGGCTATTTGCATTCACTGTACGATTCACTGGGGCAATAGGATATGATATTTGATTTATATCGACTATTTTAACATCTTAACAATTATTCATCACCTCTTGTTACAAAAGTTTGCATGTGTTTTGTATATATTACTGATATAGAACTCTTGCCTTCAGATGGTGTCTCATACATATATCTATGCTCATAGAAGATCGGCCGTCCTTGCAATATATTTTTTATTGCTAGTTGTGTGTATGTTTGAATTCACAACATGCTGTCTATCAAACATCTTCTGCTTGTATGAGACTAATGCATTTGCTTATATGATTGATCTATAGGTGAGTTGTGTTCACTACATTTCCCTCATCTGTGTTTGCTAGAGATTCATTGAACTCACTACATGTAAATCTCAATAATCTACAAGAGGTTGATGCATCTATTTGCAGATTGTTGTTGACTTTCAGGTTGACTACATTCATTGCTAGTTTTTCCACATACATTTGTCAACAATCTACTGTGTTCATTGTATTTTTCCTTTTAATGTTCATGGAACTAATTTGTTACTTAATGTATGTTCTTGTAAGATTGATACAAGTGTCACTTATTGATTAGTATCACTTGTTTATGGTTTGCAATGATTATTGGGATGTTCTTGCACATTTATTTACAACCAGTTTATATCTCCTTATTGATTATTGTTTGCAAGCAAATCATGTATTTCCTTTGAGAGCAACATATCATGGCATGGAATTCAATCAAGTTATCTACAACTACTTATAAGAAAGTAGAGTTTGCAAGTCTATTATTCACCACCAACCTTGCAAATGTTCATTTGCATTTAATTTTGACCTTGTAATTTTTCAACATTCCATTTGAAAATATTGTGTTATTGTTCAAATGAAGTTCCTTATCAATCTATCATTTTATTCACATCTTAAATTCAAGTTAAGCTCAAAGTCATTTGAGTTCAATTCCTTATAATACAAGCATGTTCAAGCTCCATGTAATGGTGTTCAGTTCTCTATAGTTTTCTCATTCAAGTCGAATGCCCACAAGTTTCTGCTCATTTCAAATTCAAGTTCATTATAATTCATTCAGGTCCATTATGTTCAATCAGCAAGTTCAAGTTCTCATTCAAATTACAAGTTATTTTTGTTCAGATTGTTCAAGTCATGGTTCATGTTAACATTTATTTAGATTCGAGTTTATTTGAGTCCAAATCCCCTACACTTAGTTCAAATTAGGTCCTCCATTTGCTCTGAATTTTGGTAGCCTCTTGGTGTCTCCCCTGTTTAGGGGAAACTACAGGAGTCTTAGTCTGCCCACCATGTCAAGAAAGACGTGCATGGTCAGTGTCAAGGGACACTATGGTTGTAGTCTTTGTCATCCACTACGCCAAGAAAGGCATGCATTGGTCTTCAAAAGTACCTGTTTGAAAAAATAAGTTTTTCCCTGCATATGGGTACTTATATTTTCGCCACCGTGCTAAGAAAAGCACACACAGGGATTGCCTGCCTCGCCATAGGCACCGCACTGAGTTACCTCCCACCACATTAAGAAAAGCGTGCATAAGTCCCTCGGTGCGCTACAAATGCCAAAAATAGGACTTTAGGGGGATTACTTGTCTCGCCGCTAGCACCGCAATGAATACCCTCACACCGTGCTAAAAACATCGCTCATGGACAGTCGTTCACCGCATTACAAGTGACAAGAATGAGTTTTCAACGTTTATGAGGTTATACCTTGGCAAGGGAACATCGTTGGAGTGGGCATATATATCGAGGTTAGGGTGCCGTTCCTCTCTCTCTCTCTCTCTCTCTCTCTCTCGGCTTACAAGAGAAGTTGACACAGGCAAGGGATCGACAGGGTTAGGGATTAGGCCATCTGAAGGTTCAAATGCAGGTGGAGGATGACGGGATTTATGAAGATCAGGCTTCAAGAGATCAGGGCTAGAGGTTAGCTTCGGATTGATGGGATGAAGAGGTCGGTCTTGGTTAGTTCGGCTGAGATGTGGGAGGAATCAGAAGAGGGAAGTGGGCTCGTGGCTTCAATGACCTGAGGAGGAAGATTGGAGGGTCGGATAGAGGATCTTGGGATGTTGTTACTGTTGCAGAGATTTGGCGTTGGCTATAGCTAGGGATCAGGAAGCAGCGACGGGAGCTTCAAATTCGACTGGAGCTTGACTGTGCAAGAAGGATTGCGAGAGGAGCTACAGATCTTATGTGCATGAAATTGAAGAAGTGGCAGCGTTCATTTTGTTCCTTTTAACAACACAAATGAGAGGGAGAGAAAAGATGCATGCGTGCTGTGTCCGAAACAACACCGCTTGCGAAGTATGGGAAGGCCTCGTAGAATTCTATATAATTAAGTTTTCATTTGAAATTGCTTTTTTCTTTTTCTTAAAGTACAAAAATTAATAAGTAATTTTTTTACTAGAAATTTGTTTTAAGAAACAGAAAGAGAACCGTCACAACTGAAACCTAAGCCTCTTCTTGATAGTTATACTTTCATGATGCAATAAGAGTACTTAAGAAATTGTAGTATTTATGAAATTGAAGAAAATAGCTCTAATCATATCGAAGGAAATAATATGGTGATTTCAAATCATAGCAGCGGCATAAATTAATGATATTTAAAATATTCTTAGTGTTCGTTTGGGATAGCTTTTTTACTACTTTATAAAATAATTTTTTAGTACAAAAATTTCTAGTTCAATAAATTTTTTTATTAAAAAAAAACAACTTTAGAAAGCAATAAGAAAGTTGTCTCAAACATAACCTTAGGGGCTGTTTGGTATCGGATATATAGCGGGATTTAAGTCGGATTTATGTTAAATCCAGCCAAACAGTTTTTGTGCGCGCGTTAAATCCCAGGATTCGCTTAATCCCGGATTTACGTATTTATGGCTTAAAATTCGGGATTTAGTAAATCTGAGGGCTAGCCGGATTTAACAGGATTTATCGGAAGAAGCGGGCGAAAAGGAAAAAGTTACCTTCAAAACCAGCGAGCTCTCGTTCTTGCTTCCGATCAAAATGTCGTAACTTCCGATCCGGGTTGAGGAGAAAGTCATCACAGGAGCGAAGTCAAACAACCACGAAGGAGCCGCAGAAGCGACGCGTGCAATCTATACACTTGCAAAGCAACAAAGTTGAACATTAATGACGAAAAGAGAAGATGAAAGGTAAACAATAGACGCATCTAAAAATTATTATTGATTAACTTAATTAATATAATTTAAATTATTAATAATTAAGTAAATTAATTAAATAATTAATTATATAATTATCTTCTGCACATTTAAATCCCTAATTGCTATCAATTTTGAAATATGTTACCAAACAGTTTCTCAGGATTTAACAGCATTTAACATTTGACATACAAAACAATTTTCAGGATTTAACATATTTCGAATTTACTAAATCCAGATTTACAGGATTTACTAAATCCCACTAAAGTTAAATGTTTAAGTGTTGGGTGTTATTAAAAAAGAGATTTATAATGTAACCCGAAGATTGTTATCCTTTTCTCGACAATACACAGTTATATTTTATTAGATTATCAACTTTAAAATTCCTATCAAAAGATATTTGAAATTTAAAATTTTAAAGAAACTAGATATTATACAAAAATATAATCTCGTCGGTAACAAATTATTCTAATTTATTAATAATAAAATTATTATGTATTAAAAATAATTATTAAAACTTATTTTATTTATTATAAAATAGTTATAAAAAATAATTCCTCGTCGTGGTGGCAACGTCTTCCTCTTTTCTTTAGGGAAGTTCCTTTTTCTATGATTTTTTATTTTGGGCTTTTGTTGGTTTTGGTTCTGCCCGACGCTTGCCGGCATACTGCCGAAGTTATGTGACTCTGGCTTTTTAGGGGTTTCTTCTTTTCGTGGTATTCCCTCTCTTTGGATTTCGGAACAAGAAATCTCTACTCTGGCCGCGCCTTTCCAGTTCTCTATGGTCGGATTTTTTTCCTTCTAAGCATCCTTCTTTGGACTCTATTTGTTGGTTTTTCTTTAATCTAAAATTGAATGGTGAATTTTCTATTACGTTGCTAGACCCGTCTCATATCCTCATTAAGCTTAACAATGATCTTAATTATTGTCGGGTCTGTTTCCATGGATCTTACTTTGTTTATAACTGCTTTATGAAACTCACCAAATGGCTACCCTCTATGGACATTGGGGTGGAGTCGCCGGTTGTTCCCATTTGGGATTCTTTCCCTCTGCTGCCCCCCATCTCTTCTCTACCCATATACTTCATGGCTTGGGTTTAATCTATGGTAAGGCCCTTAAAATCGATACTGCTACTGCTATTGGGTCTAGGATATCTCTTGCTCGTGTGTTAGTGGAATTAGTTGTTACTAAATTCTATCCCGATCTTGTCTGGTTAGGCTCTGAATCTTCTGGGTATGTTAAGCATGTTGTTATGGAGAATTTACTTTCTTTTTGGTCTTCGTGTAAAAAATTTGGGCATTTTTTGGGTAATTTTTGTCCTGAGGTTGATTTCTATGTGCTGTCTAAGGTTGCTAAGAAGGATTCTATTATCTCTTATCCAATTCTCCCTTCTTCTAATGTTGAGGCTGAGCAAGTTATTTCTGTTGAACCCATTTTTCCAGCTTCAGCTTTGGGTGCACAGCCTGTGGTTCAGTTGGTTGATTTGGATACCCCTCAAGCTAATTTAATTGTTGAGAATATGGAAATTGATGTGGAAAATAATGTGAACCTTTCGGGTGGTAAGGATGATAGTGGTGATGGTTTTGTTGTTTTGTCTCCTGATGCTTTACCCTTTCTCCCTCATGGTTCCATTTCGGGTACTTTTGATCCCTTTGTGGTCTCCCGTAGAACTTATCTCAGTGCTGATAATCATGGTGGTGCTGATCGCTTGTTGTCGGTGGTGTCGGCCCCGGCTGTTTTGGGTGAAATTTCTTTTTAAGCCTGTTGTTTTGGATTGCCCTCATTAGGCTGCTGCTCTTCCATCTGAAAATTTGGGTGCAGGGGTTTGTGAGGTGTCTGCTAACTCTAGTTCGCATCAAGTCATGGTCGACTATTTAGTTAACAACAATTTTATGGATGTACCTGTTACGCTAATTTATCCTCAAAATTTAGTGTATCATGTGGGGGACTATTCAGGATTGAATGTTCGTGTGCAATTGGATTGGCTACAAGACTCATCTTATTATTATTATGATTATGTTTCTTTCGAATCGTCTGGGGATGAGAATCTGGGCAATACTTTTGCCTTGTTGCGAGATAAACCTCTTGTATCCGTTGCCTCTCGTGGTAGGGCTCGTGGAAGGGGTAGACGTGGTCGGCGATGGCGTACTTGGTTTTCTTTTTGGGTGGCTTTTTGGTTGGTTGGATAAGGTATATGTTCTCTAGGCTGGTTGGGTTATCCTGTTGGTGATGATGCGTGCACTCGTTTTGGCACTTTCAGTGGGCTTAAGTGCTTTTGGAGATCTCAGTTTTATTTTTTTTTCGTTGTTTATTACTGGGCAATGAAGTGGCTGTGGCTCACTTATCCGTCAGCTAGGCTCGTGGCAACCTTGGTGTTGATCTCGTTAAGATGGCTGCTTTGTTTTTTGGTCCACCAATTGGACAGTCCAAGCTTGTCTTATGGGAAGCTGGTAGTCTCGGCCTTCTACTGAGCCCTCAGGGTCATTTTTTTTCCTCTTGTTTTTGCATTTGCTTTTTAAATCTTGTAATCGCTCTTTTTTATGGAATGAAATGTTATTTTTTGTTAAAAAAATAGTTATAAAAAACAATGTGATTAGATAATTTTGAAATTACTACTCATAATGAATTACATTAGTAATAATGTAATATTGAAGAAATCTAACATTGGCATTACTAGCAGTTGTAATATGTTGTATCTAGGAGAGGAATGAAAGTTGAAGAAGAGAAAATAGCAATAACTACAGAAGAAATGTATAACCAGAGGAAGCTTAACTATGGCAAACATATTTGGTGTAACTTTCATTGTTTCTCACCCCTTTACATGTTTATTGTAGCTCATATATAGAGGTTTTAATCCTGAGTTCTTATGCCAGATAGAGTGGAGTAGCATTAATGGTGTTGATTTGGTTTCTGAGAAAGTTCTTTCTCCTCTTGGCCTGTACTAATTGAATGTCAATGTTAATTATTATATAAACATAGTTATTAGTAATCATAATTAATCTCTTCCTCATTTCCTCCTCCATTCACATTCAACATACTCGATACCACCTCCTCGAAGTCAGCCTCATCTCCGCTCAAGGCCTCTTCCCCTCTTTTAGTTCCATGCGCACCTACTCCACCGTCTGGCTCCGCTTCAACCATCATATTTACACCTGCTTCGAACCCATAGGCCAAATTATCGACCCCACCTGGATAGACAAGTTTGCCTTCATACTTCTGGAGGTATGTGCCCCCCGTGTCTCCATCGTGGCTTTGGCACTATTCATATGGCTATATGTGTGTAAACTCTTTAGTTCACATGGCTATATTTTTCATACTCAGAATTACAGATTTTTGAATAGAATTATTTTTTAACCAAACACCACACAAAAAAGATAAATTTCTATTACAATAATATTAAGGCATTTTTAAATAAGTGACCTAAAAAGTTTTAAGTAAAAAAACTATCTATATAAATATTATTTTATCTTAATATAATCCTGTGTGCAATTATTTTTGAAATTAGAGCACTTTTATTTCTCTTGCATAATATGTATTATGTATGGCTCATATTTTCTTCTAAATTTTTTATATGTCGGAATAATCTTCTTATTTGTTTTTCAAATATCCTAGAATTTATAATTAATTAGTTATTAACAAAATAAATGAAAATGAGTTAATGGGTTATATTCAGGTTGGTCTTTTTGACCCATTTCTTAAACATGTCCAATTTAGGTTGACTAGTTTTAGTTTAGACTCAAGTCCAACCCATTAACACATTTTAACAACCCTAGTAGATGTTAGTGTTATCATATATGATTGAAGAAGATGCAAAATTTAAATTCTACACATTCCCTCTTTATCTCATAATCTCGTATCCATTTGAAAATTAACATCGGACAATAACTTTTCCATTTGTTTTGATGCTCATGGATTTATTATTACGGATCATCAGGACAATCAACAGCTTGTACATGGCCGCAATCATGATGATCTATATTCTATTAGCATTCTGTTGATTCTTGTTGAATCTTAATTAGGTTGTTAAACCTAAGCTAATGTCCCAAGGCTAACTAAGAGGGGGTGAATTTGTAATTTTAAAAATTACTTCTTAGATTTTAAAATTTGAAACCGATTGATATACAAAGTAAGTTAATTAAAGTTTTCAAAATAAATTTTTAACCACAGAATTGATAACTTGCAGTAAGCAACGGAAAAGTAAAAGACACAAAGATTTATAGTGGTTCGGTCAAACACCCTACATCCACTCCCTGAAGCCTCCCACTTAGGGTATTGCACTATTACCAAAGTGACTCTCCTTTATCCCCCACAACAAGGCGGATAAGCCTTTACAAAACTCTCTTCCACCAATCCCAAGTGCAGCAGAGATCCGTCATCATTTCACACCCTCCAAGTGTAGGCAGAGTACCTTCGTCATTTTGCACCCCCCAAGTGTAGGCAGAGTACCTTCATCTTTTCACACCCTCCAAGTGTCGATAGAGAAATGTCGTTTGTTCACACTCTATAAGTGTAGGTAGAGAACCTTCATCCTTTCACACTCTCCAAGTGTTGGTAGAAAACCCTCATCCTTTCACACCCTCCAAGTGAAGGCAAAGCACCTTTGTCCTTTCACACTCTCCAAGTGTCGGCAGAGAACTAGATCTTCTTCGAAGATCTTCATACAAGCAATCTAGAAAGGAAAGAGAAAGAGTGAAGAAATACAAATCACACACAGAGATCCTTGCGTTTGAGTAACCTTGCAAACCCTTCATGCTCCACTATGGAGAAATCTCTCTCAAATACTTTCTCACACTCTATCCTTCAATTGCCCTTTATAAATCACGAAGACCAGATGAAAAAAATATTAAGTATCAATTTTTAGTGGACCTTTTATACCAAAGACATAAAGAACCATCCAGAAAACTGATTTTTTTAATTTTGACCATCCACGATCGTACTGTACGATCGTAAGTGCGTACGTACGAATAGTTCAAATATTGTTGCATACAAACATGTTGTGAATCGGTAGGAACTCATTTCGTACGCGATCATCATTCGATATGAACCTAGTTTGTTCGGTACAAATAGAAAAGTTTCAAATTTTGTCTATACGAAAAGTCAGGACGAAATGAATGAAAACAGAACAAAGAGTTCGTCCTGGGACGATCATAAATATCATCCCATACGATATGCGTCCGAGGACAGAACGGAGATGTTCTTCTTGGGATGAAATATATTATCGTCCGTATGATCTTTGTTCGAGGAAAATCTAGAGACGTTCATCCTGGGACAATCATAAAAATCATCCTGCATGATATGCGTTCGAGGATAGAACAGAGACATTCTTCCTAGAATGAAAATAAATATCATCCGTACAATCTTCATTTAAGGACACAATAGAGACATTTGTCCCAGTATGAAAATAAATTTTAGTCCCGTACTACCCATACTAAAAAAAACATTGTCCTCTTTGTTCGTTCAACTGCTCACTGGGGACAATAATTAACAGATCATCCCGTATGACGTAATATCATATAGTACGATCAGTTTAAAAATATGAATTTTAAAATTCCCCTATGGTGTGTGTGTGCTCAGTTACTCAATTACAATCACTCTCTCTCAGACTCAATAAAATGAAAAATATGGACTACAATTACAATAAACTCTAAACTGTTCTTGATTTGAAG